GGGATAAACCAGGAATCAGGAAATCTGAGATAAACCAGGATTCAGGGATAAATCATGTCAGGGAATCCGGGATAAACTGGGAATCAAGGATAAACCAGGAATCAGCGATAAACCACGCCAGGGAATCTGGGATAAACCACGCCAGGATCCAGGTTAAACACCCAAGAGAGGGCAGAGGTGGCACTGAGGTGACAACAGTGGCATCAAGGTGACAATGGTGGTGTTAAGCTGAGAACTTAAGTGGGTATTTAGGTTTAATACCAATAAAACCCGGTTTTGACACTGAATTTTGAATTTCACCATGGTTTTAAACTGGTTTTCACACTGAATTTTGAATTTTGTCTCGGTTTTTCCTTGCTTGTCCCACCTGATTTAAATTCTGCGACTGGAATAATCTGGTGAGCAGGAAACCTCCTCGGAGCATGCAAATGGTTTTAATTTCTTAATCTTCTTATTTTCCTTAAATTCCAGCCTCGTTGCTCCCTCAGCCTGGCAGGAAGTCCCATCAAAGTGAGCAAAACTCACCTATTTTGTGCTTTACCTTGTGTTTGGAGTTCAAATTTCTGTGATAAGGGAGTAAATGATTTAAATTTTATAAATTTTTGTGTTTTGACAGCAAAATTTTGTCTTTTTGCCACATCCTCACCCCAAACCCCACAGAGAGGGTTCCTTGGCTTGTCCAGCAGGTTTGGGCAGCACCTGATATTTCCAATACATAAAATTGATCCAAATCAATTAAAATTTAGACACCATGACTGTCATGTCACTATTATCAGTGTCCAAAATCTGGGTGTGAACCAGTTAAAAATATTCACTTTTCAGCTTCAATCCAACCCCTGAGCTCTCACAATTCCTTTTAAAGCAATTCCAAGTCCCTCTCATGTTTTCCTTGGCTGTTTTCTCCCCTCATCCAATAAATTTTACCAGATCCCACCCCAGGGGGTTCGGGAATGGTTTTATTCCCACCGGATCTGGGCAGGATTCACTTTCCCCACTCAGAGCCATTAGCTGGGATGGGGGATGGAGGGAAGGAGAGAAAACCCCATTAAATCCCAGCTCTAACCAAATCCCAGCTCGGCCAGCCGAGCCTAAAGAGGGGAGAGAGCCGCCCTTGGTTCCCTCAGGGCTCCAGAACTTCCACTTAAATTTGATGGATGTTCCACAAGGGGAATTTTATCTGATTATGGGGCTGAGATT